GTTTTGAGTTTGCGCCTATATGCTCAACCCAACACTGTGCACTATGCTTAATATTTATACAGTATTGTATAAATGCAACTAGAAAAGTGATTAAACTTCTATTAAATTTACTGTACATGATTAGAACACATTTAAACAACCATGCAAGGCATGAAACCTATGCCAATATAAGAGGAAAACCAAGATAAAAATATTATTCCAATCTAATGTAATCACTATCTTACCAAATAGATTGAAACATGGAAAATAACAAAGGCTGAGAAAAATAAACTAATGTAGATGTCTTCCAACAAGGAAATCATGCACATAAAATGGCAAATAAAGAAAGGCCTAACAAGATAAATAGTACATTTCTGGTTTTCGACCGACCTGTTCAAAAGTCACCTACCATAAACATTTTAATAATAAATAATAATAATAATGTCATCTTATTAGGCGCACGTATCTATCTCTTGGTAGAGCTGCACGCGGTGTCATTTTCCACCTGCAGAGTGTATATGTAGCCTTTTTTCTGTATTATTATTTTGAATTAATTTTATTTTAATTATTTATTTATTTATTTTTATTTTATTTTATTTTTTTACTTATATATTTTTTTTGACAATGTGAAAAAAAATATTTTTTACCAGCAAAATTTGATGGTAGTCACTCTATGTTTCATTGTATGTTTCACTGATCTTCCTATTGATACAGCGCGATCCTAGTGAATACACAGCGGTACCACACGGTTTTCTTGTTAATCACACACACAGAATCGTATTTTACCACTGCTGAAGACGAGCAGCTGTCAGCAGCGGTTTTGAGACACACTACAGTAGTTCAACATGGAGACAGATTTCTCCACTAGCGACACTGATTATGTTTATAAACAAAAAATAAATAAATATAAATTTTATAAATAAATAATTATAAAAACTTTTTAGGAGCATTAATAACATGCCAGAATCAAGGGAATACTTAACAGTTAAAGATGAACATTCAATTAAGATAAAAGATATTTTTAGTATTCACAATACTTGAACATGTTCATGTACGCCTGTGGCGGCTGGAACGTCATCATAATCATATCCGACGATGTTTTGGCCAGCTACTTAAAAAAATCACTGACGGCGGCAAAGAGGATTAGGCCTAATAATTACAGTACAGATCATTTCAATAGCTTTGACTGATGTAAGATGAAAAAAGAGTTAAGTGTAGACCTATGTAGTTTTGACTGCTGCTGGTTTAAAATGAAATGAAAGATGTGATAGTTTCTTCTTGGGTTTATAATTTTTATAACGCTTGAATCAGGTGGTTATTGTGTGATCTTAACCCTTCCGCTGCCATTTTCACATAAATGCGAACAACCGCACAGTTGGTATGCATACCAGTTTTGCATAAATGCGATAAGGCTCACAGTCAGCCGTACGCCACCTTGGCATAAATGCGAATGGTGAAGGATTTTGATGTGAAACTTGCTGGGTGTTGTTTTGTTAGAAGTTGAGTTTTTGCAAGTAGAAAATATGATGTTTTGAAATGCTGAGAGTGTTTGGGAGGTTTGTGGGATTTAGAAATATTTAATCCTACCATAATTACCCTACCCTCACAATTACACGCCATTTTAATTCTTTTAATTTTAATACTGTTATAGTATCTCGGTTTACATTATTTAGTATAGTTTTAGGCACTTAAATTTAGTTGGCGGGGAGTAAAAACCAAGCATACAATTAAATAAGTTGCTTAAATAAACGTAGGCCTATTCCTAATTATTCAGTTTACTTTAAAAACAATATTACTTCTTTGAAGTAAACTCTAAGCAGAACATTTATTGCTAAGTTTTTCTGAGAAAGTAAGCCCCTACGTTTTCCTATACATGAACTTGTGATTCAAACACAATTGATCCACATGCTATCCCTACTGTTTATTTGCACTGTTTATAACATGTAAAGTTATTTCATTTGATACTTAACAAAAGTGAATTTTGTGGTTATCTATGAGTTGCATATTTTGGTAGTTGAAGTACTGTATGTATGTCATTCCTCTACTTTGTTTAGTGGAATAACGTTTTTAAAACGTTTTTAAAACTGTTTTCTACTATCAAAAAATGTTATTCAATGGCCATTGTTTTCCGATAATCTCTCAGTACATTATTTGCGTTTGTTGTGTAACTGTGTTTGATATTGATTCAACTCTTGTTTTTTACAGCTAGTATTTAAATATTTAGAAGATTTTTTTTAAAAAATCATTTCTATTACTGAATTTTTTCATTGGACCATTTTTACCTTCTTATCATTTGGGGCCATTTTTACCGGGGCTTTTTTTCCGGGGCAATTTTTTCTGGGGCCATTTTTTCCAGGGCCTTTTTTACCTACATTAAAAAAAAAGCATTATGCTGACCTTGTTAAATAATTAGCTGGCACAGGGGATTAGTGGTAATGTTATCAGCTGGTGCTCTGGTTGGCTGATTAAGAAAAGAGCTGGTAGGGTAAGGGTTAATAATAGCCTTGAGTACAGTACATCTTATTCAAACTAACATGACTATTAAAGATGTATTGGCCCTTGCTAATGTCAAAAAATCATTAAAAAAAATAAACTTACACATGCAGTATTGCAATAGCTAGTTTTAATCCATGCATTTTTATCAGTGAGCTAGGGTATAATTACAGTACAAGGGTAACAAAATAAAATTCAAAAAATAATAAAATGTTTTTCATACACACCTACCTACCAAACTATTTTTAAAAATGTCATGCAAAACCAACTATTGATTTTATTTGGCCTAATTGAAGAGTTACACAAAATAACATCTACCATGACATTACTTTATTAAGAGGTTTTTAAAAGGAGATGGATTGGACATAATCTTTAGAAAAGAGAAGGATGATAATGCAAAAATAGTAATGAATTGGACTCCGGAAGACAAACGAAATAGACGACAACACAAGACCACATGGAAGCAGCAGTTTAGCTGGAAAAAGACGGAAGAATGAAGAATTTCATCAAGAAGCCTCAATCTCCACTACCACGAGAGATGAAAATAAGTACAGTAAGTAAATATTATAACATTGGAAGCAGATACTAATAAACTAATATTATTAACCAGGTTAATTTTTTTTTGTTTTTTGTTTTTTTTTTATTTTTAGTTAATTTCTGCAGGGACATCAATTCAATGAAATTATTGAAAATTACTCATAAAATTAATACACAGAGAATGAGAAATATTAACAATACTTTTATTTTTTCAATGACCGTCTTCAATTGAAGGTACTGTGCAGTCTGAGTGAATATTTCTTCTCTATTTTCAAGTACTTTTCTGAGAATGAAATCAAAATATTATTACATAGTTGACAATTATTTAACAAAAAATTCAATATTAATGTTACTAAAGGAAAAAGATATTCATATTTTTGAATTCTAATAATTTCTAATCTAATAATATCATCATCACGATGATGACATAATTAATGTCGAAATATTGAATCCCAATAGTGGGCTACTGTATATTGTCAGAAAAAGGCAATACTTTAAATACTATTAATGTCCTTATGAAATTGAGGGGTGGAGGGGAAAATGACCTCTTCAGCATATGAGAAATAGGTCATAACTTTTTATCTGAAGTCATATTATGGTGATATTGGTGTGTATTTTTCTGAGGCCAAGGAATTGATTATTGTTGTCAGAAATACATAAAAAAAAATTCATGAGCTTTTTTTAGGCGTTATGGTATTAAAGAACAATATGCATCTTTTTCTATCAGTAATCATTGTAGCAATCATGATTTCCACCATTCATGTACAGTTTTACTTCTTAATTTACACAATATTAAACTAACTGTACATTAACGCAAACAACCAATATGATAATTGATTTTTATTACTATGATACTAGTACACACTAACTTTTTACGAGAAAAAAATTAACTTAATTTCCACCACCAGTTCTAAATTTCTCAAAAGATCAAACACCAACTTTTAGTAAGATACTGTTTCAGAATATTTCTGACTTACCTCAAATCCTTCCGTAATATCTCATTAACAAAATGCTCATATTCAACTACTTTCTTCGAAACAGGTAACTCTTCCATGTTTGTTTGCTATTAAAAAAAGAAAAAACTCATTTACAATATGGCACAGAATGGTTTTATTGGCAGATTATTTTTTAACAATAAACCAGAAATTTATGTCAGCATAGATAATTTGCTGTTTCTCAAAGTTTAAAGTTCATTTTATTAGTCATGTATACAGCGCTAGTGAATGAAATACAATTTCTGGGTCTACAGTACATCTGTTCATACAGTGGCATGCGTACATTTCGCAAGTTGATGGCATACAAAGAATCAAATGACCTTGTGTCTGCTTCTTCCACGGGTAGTGTGGGAACACATTTGTTCACAACAAATTTATATCTAGTACCATGGACCTATTAATAATATTATTAATAGGTCTATGCTAGTACCTAGTTGTTTCTAGACAACTGGTAGGTGGTAATCCAGCAACCAGGCAGTATAACTTTGATGAGGTTTGACAACAACTGAATTGTTAAATTATAGGTTCTTACTGTATCTGCATACATCATCAATAGGAAGTTCTAAAGAACAGAGATATATAAGAACATATACAGTATTCTCCAAGTTTCAATTTTTGGAAATTTCAAAAGACATTACTGACATTTGCTGGTCCAAACAAGCCAGCTTTCCTTTGTTGTCTAATGGGAGTCAAGACATCCTTTATTGTTAAGTCAAGAATATAATTCATGGCAAATGCTATCGCAGCATAAAGGAATCCAAAATTAAATAATAGGATGTTTGTAGTTACTGCCGAGGATAATGTTAATTATATGACATAAGAAATATTATTACGGACTGGCATTAGGATACATGTACCATACCAACAAGGCCTGGTGTATATCACCAGTCTGTTTCCTAGTGCTTGCTAGCAGCTATCTTTTATTCGGATTTGCCAAGACTAATTCAAACATAATAATAATTATCGAAAACTTTAGTGCAGAGCATTTTTTGCATTAAAAAAAAAACACAAATACAAGGATAGGGTGATGATAAATTCTCAATAAATGAATAAATAAATTATAGTTCGCAATAAATGCATCCGCTCGAACAAGCATCTGCATCCAAATCAAACAATATTTCGTCAATGAAATTAGTTTATTCACATATTTTAAATAAAGATTCCATAAATGTATTTATTTGTATTCTGATGGCATTAATTATACAATTAATTAACCCCTAATTTTTGACATTCTGTGTACAGCCACTGATAGAGCGATATTTGTTTACCTTGGCCAAAATCACTATATTTCCCCCATATTTCTGGGGCCATAACTCAGGACGTAAACATAAAAAAATCGTAATTTTTGTTTTTATGGAATATTTTAAGTATTATCTCACACCCTAGCAATAGTCCTACATTATTACTGTATTATGTAGGTCGTTCCGTGCCAACTCAACAAATAGGATGGCTGGGTACCGTCTCAGATTTTCTTAAAACTTGGATATAATGTGCACTAACATGTCTGACGAACAAACTCAAAATTTGACAATTCCAAGTCGTTTAGAAGTTATGGCCATTTGAAATTTTAGGGTCATACCCCTTGTTAGCTCTTAATTATGACATATTTGTAAAGTTGCATTTTCAATTAGCCATATTTTTGCATTTAAAAAAAATATATAATTTTGTATATTGTGTTTACATGTATTAATTTTTTTTTTTTTTTTTTTTCTTAATTATTTTTTTTTTTTTTTTTTCCAGGGTTACATATATTATTTAAAGCATTTTTCTTGCTTATTTTGTAACCTATTCCTTTATCCACTACCTTTGTATTTCTTTTGCTGATAATTGTATTGTTTGATATTGGAATAAAATTATTATTGAATAGAATTGATATCTTCAAATAGAATAAAGATAATAAACTGAAAATTGATATCTGGACTAACTTTTGGCTGTAGAACAGGAATATGACATGACTTTCTGTATACTGGACCCTGTTACCAAAATATTGGTCCGTAAAGACCCTAACATATTTGGTTACGTAATTTTTTTTCCACTTTTAGACTTCATTACAATACTCAAACTTGTTATTAAATGGGTCTTATCCAACAAATTAATATATAGTTGGAAATGTTTCACCACAAAAAATTCTGGATTTTTCACTTATCATTTTAGGGGGTAATCGTAGTTCAAAAGATCATTCGGGACAAAAAATACACAAAAATTCCTCGTTTTTATGGTGACCTTTGACTCTGTGGGCAAGTACGCTTGTTAAAACTTGCGCCATTAATTAATTTATATATGATGATCAGATTTTCTAAATATCAGTTTGGTGTCCCTTCATATTTAAAAAGCGATTTAAAAAGTGGTATATTTTTTCAATTTGTGACAATATCAGTACGTAAATATGACAAAATTAATTTCTGAATAACGATAATATTAAAAATAATCTGCCTAGACCATTGAAACTTAAAATTCTAAAACAACTTTATGTGCTTATTTCAGGCATGAGGTTCGTTAAGGGATATAGTGTTTAATTAGTAAGATATTGTCACCCAAAAATGGCCTAATGCAAGAATTGCATAATAAAATTGTGTTACTATTGATTTCAAATGAGCATAATATTATCCGTGTACTGTCTAGAGCCATGAAACCTTTCATTCTAGGACAACTTTTTGTGTTGATTTCAGTTATGCAGTCTGTTAAAGGGATAAATTGTTTAATTAGTAAGATATTATGCCCCAAAAGCGGCCCAAGTGTAAGAATTGTGCAATAAAATTGTGTTATTACTGCTGATTTCAAATAAGCATAATATCCGAAGTGTCTATGCTTACGCCGAGTCGTAAGCATTAATCATAGGCTATGCTTACGCCGATCTATTTGAAGGGCGCCGCTTGCATCGTGAGTACGAAAACGTCCTATTGAGCATGTGCAAATATTTCTTTTTCTGTAGCGCGCACTTGGTGAAGTTTCAAGATGGCAGATGAAGACACTTTGCGTCTCGGTGGCACTTTCACAAGCTATGAAAAATTGTCAGAAGCTGTATCGAATTGGGAGAATGATACATAAATTTATATATACAATCTTCACGTAGCATCGATTCTGCCAAAAAACGTGCACCTAAAAGAAACTTCAACCCTGAATTAAAATTCTATTCAATCGATTACGCCTGCATTCATGGTTCTCACCATGTTAATAATCAGAGCTAAGTTAGTACAGCCCATATTTCGTGGTACAGTTGTTGCACATCGAATCAGTAGAGAAAAAGAAAGTTATTTTTTAAGAGAGTTTCCTTTCAAACATTTCAGTTGTTAAAAACCTTGGTGCTTAAACCGAAATATATTACAGTGTTTTTGTATATTAATAACAAAATTGGATTGAAACTGTGTCACGCTCTCTTGTAATTATTGTACAGGTATGCGTACTTGTTCATAATAGGAAAATTAAGAATTTTATAGGGACACGGATCAAGAGATGTTGGAAAGGTCGGGGTGAGGGATCGAGATAAGAGCACCCTAGGGGAAATTCTTGTTTTTGATTTCGCTTTTTAATTATACTCTAATGTACAGGACAATGATTTAAAATCAGAATATCACTGCAGCAGGCAGGTCACCTCCAACATTCTACACATCATACATAGATACATTGTCATTATTTCAGATATAGTATTGTATCAATATCAACATAAATTGGGCTAGATAGGCCTATCTAACAATGAAGTACTGCATCACAATGAACAGACGGCACTCATGAGGAAAGTACAAGAGCTTGGCACAGGTCAAATATTTTTACACAAGGATGATATGGAGTACTTGAGTAAAGTGAATTAAGGCAGAGTAAAGTGAATTAAGGCAGGCTAAATAGGCAAGTGCTAGAGAAACTAGGTAAGCTAGAATTGGGTCCTCGTGTGGGAATGTACTAATATGTCTGCCTCAGTTCATGACAATGCCTGTTCTTTTGGAAAACTGTGGACTAGACAAAGCTCATGCCTCGACAACGTGAAATAGTAAGCAGATCAACGAGTTGACTATTTACGTTGACTAGCAATCCGGCATAAGCATAGCCACTATATAATGCTTACGCCGGCCCTGTGCATGCTCAGTAATAGATCGGCGTAAGCATAGCCTCGAAATAATGCTTACACCACCCCTGCGCATGCTCAATAGATCGGAGTAAGCATAGCCTATGACTAATGCTTACGACTCGGCGTAAGCATAGACACTTCGAATATTATCTGTGTACTGTCTAGATAGAGTCATTAAACCTTTCATTCAAAGACAACTTTTTGTGCTGATTTCAGTTATGCAGTCTGTTAAAGGGATACATTGTTTAATTAGTAAGATATTTTGCCCCAAAAATGACCCAAGCGCAAGAATTACACTATAACATTGTGCGACTATTATACTGATATATTTCAAGTTAGCATAACATTAACAGTGTACTGTTCAGAACCACAAAGCCTTAGAGTAGTACACATTTGACGGCTTAAACCAGCCAGCTTCCTATCCTGGTAACCTAACAGTTAAAAGTTCTTGGATTAACCTATGACTCGTTGTCTGTTGGTGCACTACTACCAGCCTATATAGGCCGGCCCTACTACTAGCCTTGTTGTTGGTTGGTAGTAGGCCTAGGCCCTACCTAGCTAGAAGAAGGGCCTAGACTAGCCAGGTTAGTAGACTAGCCTAGGCCCCTACTAGGCCTATTTCTATACACTTACTTAGGCCTCGTACTAGTACTACTACTACTACCAACTGCTACCTAGGCCTTGCTAACTTTAGTCGTCACTCTTACCAATTTAAATGTAGTGTATTAGTGTTGATATGCAAACGCCTGCCACCTACGCGCAAAGAAGGAAGTCCTTTCATGGACCGACCAAACCGAATACTGATTCAATTCAAACCTTCTCAGCAGTCATAACTACACACAAGTCTCAGCATCTCGCACGTGGGTGAGTTATGGAAAGGCCGTCACTCAAAACGCATGCGCAGATCGTAACAATTACTCATTTTCACACATTTTTGATCGACTTGCATTTGAACATGCATTGCAGTCCTACAGTATTGATATCAACCTCTTTTTTCTTTACTGTATTAATTGATTAATGGTTTAAATATTTGTTTTACTGTAAGATTAACATACTTTTTACAATTAAGTTTTACTTTAAATTTAGTTTTGTATTAAGGTATCGGATGCACTAAAAAACTTTTTATGTGTGCAACTGTTGTAAAAGTTGCAAGCAGTACTGAGTACCGAAGCGTAAACAATATAAATAACACGTTTTGACCATATTTTCGGAGGTCAGTGTTACTTAAAAAATCAAATCCTTAACGGAGTGTCGTGTCAACATATGTTTTTCTTTAATGTTTCTTTAAAAAACAATGTCATAAACTGGGGCTGTATAATTATGGTATTGTGTTTGGAGCGAAATTAGCTGTGTTATGTTAAGATTGGATTGATATACAGAGTGTAGACAAATTGGTGGAGACGGAATTTTTGGAATGGATAAATTTGAAAGGAGGAAGGATAAGTTACTTTTTTTTCGTATTAACAATTATTGATTAATAAATTCAAACTGCGATTTGTTTCTCTCTATATATTTTATATACAATATTTATTTATTTTATTTAAGCCTATTTACTTATTTATTTTATATATTTATTTATTTTATTTATTCAGAACAATTTCGATCAATCGTATACTGAACACACATACATTTACAGCAACTCCTCTAATCAACGTTCTTTTAGTCTAACTTTTTTTTCTATTAACACATTTTGTCAAGGATGATATGTGTAAAGTAACCTATATGTAGCCTATGTCTCGCATATCTAAGTAGTTCGAAAAAGAACTGTTGCTGTTGAGAATGTCTCAACGTTAAATAATAGTGATAATAACTTACATTTAATGATTTCTCGAGTGTTCCAAAAAATAATTTGGCTGATGACCCATAGCGGGGTTTTCTTTAATGATGGTCTTAGCACGTTGAAGTCTGACGAATAATGGCGTATAATGAAAAGATCCAAACATGCGCTGGTACGTACGTATGGCGTCATGAGTGAAATCAACCAATGAGCGAAGATTACGTCTGATGTGTAACGAAAAGCCGATAGATATGCAGGCACATGATGTCATGTGTGAAATTAACTAATGAACGATAAGGTAAACTTTTTTAAATGCTGGTGTATTTTTAATAATAGTAGTAAAAATAATATATAAAATAATGGTAGTAATAAAAATTATAATAATGGAAATTAAAATAATAAACAATTATTACAGTAATAATAGGTGTACGCAGAGTTCTATTAGAGAACTGTGGTGTGAATAGCGCCTTCTAGTTACATAGAGGAAGTAATACTACTGTACCTAGCAGGGGAGCATGTTAATTATTTAGCCCTGCATATCTATGCCCGAACAATTTAACAAAAAGAGTGGCTGATGGATTTAGTCTTGCTCCAATTAATATGATACGCCCTATAGATTATATATATATATATACATATAAATATACATATATATATGTATATATATAGGTTTGAAAGGCAATATATATATATATACATATATATATATGTATATATATATATATATATATATTTATTTATATATATGTATATAATTAAAACGGAACAGTAGAGCCTGCAAGCCGAAACGGATCCGTCTGCAGATATTGGGATTCCTTCCAGTAGATGCTTAGTTTGTTTTGTCATTCTGATCGGATTTTCTCTACTGTTCCGCTTTAATTTTAAATAGTTTTGCATTCTGTGGCCGTTTGCTGTTTTATGGGTTTTTCCCATTTGCCTTTTAAAATTTATATATTATTAAAGAATCTCTATTGAAATCCAGCGGGCCGCCACTGATGCACGGTAGAGATTGCATTCCACTATTTGCATTCACACCTGTGCTGTGTATATATATTGCCTTGGTTTGGCTCTGTAATCATTAGTGGTTGTGGGACTAATTTGGGCTCTACCTAAGCTGGTCGAACGTTTCGTTTGGGTCTATACCCTAGCTGCACTGATGAGGCCTGGAGGGCCGGAACGGATCCGTCTGCAGATATTGGGATTCCTTCCAGTAGATGCTTAGTTTATTTTGTCATTCTAATCGGGTTTTCTCTACTGTTCCGTTTTAATTTTAAATAGTTTTGCATTATGTGGCCGTTTGCTGTTTTATGGGTTTTTCCCATTTGCCTTAAAAAAAAATATATATATATATATATCATATATATACATATCATATATATATATATATATATCATATATATATATATTATATATATATATCATATATATATATATATATATCTATATATCATATATAATATACGACAGTATTCCTAGCCGTATTGCCAGATTTATCTGGCCGAATGCCCTCTGGAGGCGTAGCATTGTGTAATACAATGTCCCCGACGGTTATTTGGACTTGTTCAACCATGAAGCCTTCGTGGTCTAGTGGTTATGACGCTCGCCTTGTCAGCGAGAGGTCGAAGGTTCGAATCCCGTCGGAGGCATTTTATTGCACAATGACTTTTAGGACTTTAATCGTTTAAAAGCTACAGGGTAGCCTACGATGTTCGATCATGTCCTTATTAAACACTGTATATGTACCTTTGATAATTTATATTATATTTATTCAACAGTGTTAACGGCTAACTTCCTTCAA